TTACCTTTACGTCCACGGCTTTGTTAATTTTCCAAATTTCTATCAGAAGTCCCACAAAACAGCTAATGATCACAACAGTATTGGTCTCATTGTCCATAACATACAAGAGAACTATCACAGACTGGAATACGTTGAAAAACACGGAACGTACGGACAGGCCTTCCAAAGTCTTACGGCTTCGCCAGAATTGGATGTCTGAAAGCATCAAGAAGAAATTAAATTAAGACAGAAAGCCGAGTATTCTAAAAACGGCCCCATTCCTGGACTCTGAGATTTAACTGTCTTGTCTAAGAACACAACGCAATCCCCTGGCCTAAGTCCAGTTACGCCAAAACATCTCCCACACTTATACTACAGAAATCTGGTCACTATGTTCCACTATTGTATAATATTCTCAACAGTTGTGAATTGACTTCTTAAAGAAGAATTTATGGGGAAAATTTTGCTGGCCCTTTGTCTAGGATCGGATACAAATTCAGCTCGCCCTGGATAATCACTAGAAAGATGAGCTTGAAAAGCGGCTTTACTACAAAGAAATATAATTCTCCAAGACGGATTGTTTGTCCTAGTTCCGCTGCGGTCAATATTTTAGGATAAAACTAGAAAAACAAATTACTCACCATTCTTAAAAGCCAAAAATTCAAAGACAGTGTGAACCAATGTTACAATCATTGTGATACCAAGTAGGTAGGGGTTTGTCTCCACCAAAGCTCTCTGAATTCAAACGCAAAATCAAATATTAAAAAGATAAATAATAGTCAAGAGTGCTTTTCGATTGAGAACCCATTGGAAGAAATCACAAAAAAGCCAATCAGAAAAAAGAAACGCATTACAAGGAGCCAATGAAAACACAAGCAAACTCCTAAAATAGCCCTTATGGCATTTGTGTCTGCAACGCAAAGGGTCCGCGGAGTTACAGTTTCAGGACGAGGCTATCGGGTCAACGTTTCTCGAGAAACACCAGAGACACTCCATGTCTGACCATATAACACTGGAATCTGCGTCTTTTTCTGCCGAGGAAAAGGTTAAAATTCTTAGTGGTAATTGTCCTGGCATCACGAAAGGAAGATTGAAAGAATGGCTGTCATTTCGGAAAGGAACGGCAAAATTTTGTGGCGTTTGTTCATGACTACGGTTGTTGTTCCTTTGTCGGCCTTTTTGAGGTGTAACTCAGAGTCACGTTTCAAGGCCCTTAGCGCCTTGCGTTTGGCCGAAAGCAAATTATCTTTTGGCTTTGTAATTTCTATTTCTGAAAGGTCACTTTTAACCTCTTCTAAATAGCTTTCAAGGGTTACTGATTTTTGTATTGGTGGTATCCATGTAGATCTGACGTGGCAGGGATGGGTTTTTTTGTCCTCCCCTGTGTTGATCAGACGCTTTCTCCTTGCGAACTGATCAAAGTCACACAATAGTTGTTGTCTGATCTGTTTTGTTTTGTAACGGGTGTTGGAATGAATTTAAGCCCTTTTGCCAGTAAATTAATCTGGTCGTTTGTAAGTTCTGACGTTAAAATTGTCAAAAAATAACCATGACGAGAACACGCTGTATCCTAAGAAAATGAATAAAAATGCCTCCAAACGTAGCCGTTTGTTTCGATTGTACTTGAAAGTTTTACCTATGTGACCCGATAGCCCCGTTTCGAAACTTCAAAGTCCGCTGAGCTCTCGTACAGTGGGCGAAAATGCGATAAGGGCTATTGGTTTTAGTTTTGAATCTGATTGGTTGAGCAAGAGTGGGGCGAGTTTTCTAAACCAATCACACAGTGAGGTAGAGCAAAACCAAAGCAGTCCCCACTTTCCATGAAAACCTATTTGAAAACTGTTCTGCGTATACAGGACACGTTTTACACCTTTAAACACACCTTTATAGAATCCTGCTCTTCCTCAGTCTGTTCGGGTTCATCTCCCAACACTGAAAACCACTTTTGCCTCATCCTCTGAGACTCGTACATTTGCCATCTGAACAGTGATATAGGATTGTAGGTCAAATGTAACTCAAGGGTTCTGCCAAAGAAACAAAGAAAGTACAGTTAAATAATGTTGGTTTGAGTGATTAACATAAACTTGTGAAGGTCACAATTCCAATTTGCAAGAGCCTGAAATACTACTAAAATGGGAGTAAGAAAATGATATTACATCATGAAGTTTTAAAGGCATTTTCAAATTTTCCATTTGTATAACAAATGCATTCCATGTAAATTTATGTTCAGCTACTGTAATAAATAACAAGTGATGTCAAAATGTGGTAAGAATGAAAAAAGTGGCACAGTAGGCCCACTGAAGTTCTTGCCACCACTTAGTGTCTTGTGTGATCCTTTCCTCTACAGACCCATGGCAACATGGAGTCTACGGTATTTGTTTTACATGATAAAAGAGCAAAATGCTGTTAATGCTGATCCCATCTATGCATATGTCTGATGACAGAGGACAGTCTGGTCAAATTCCCCTGAAAAGTGTTGTAAAGCACCATGAACTCAAAGGATATGGCACTTTAAAAAAATCCTCCTTCATCATCGTCATCATCATAGGTCTTCCAATAACTCATGAGTAAGAACCAATCAAATTGCCTGTATGCTTCAGCTTATTGTACACAAAAAAAGGACTCCATAGAAATGATCACAACATAACTTAAATTCACAAATTCACTATGAAAAACTTTGGAATACTTACTTTGTTGTTTCATTGATTGGCATGTAGTCACAGGCCAGATTCCAGTAGTTGTTTAAATACAGAACAGGATAGTATTTTCCTGTTATGTTTTCGAAAGCAATAACTAAAAATATAAGAAAAAATCTATTAAATACTTGTATTGCACACTGTCTTACAAATTACTCAGTGTTAAGGGTCTCATCCCTTTCACGCCCAAATCTCTTTAGTAATTCTCCCCACTGTCTGCTCTTCAATTCCTATAATGTTAGTTTGGAGAAGTTGGTATTTGATCAACTAATAAATATATTAGACATTTTGTTGTATAGTATCGCTGAGTATTTTTATGAGTTGTGCCATATTTTGACAAGCCTGTAGGGCAAGTCAAAATACAAACAGTCTTCTCGGATAGGGATGAATAAATGGAGGTCCCATCTCCTGCAGGGTTGGGGTAGGAGACATTAATTTCCCACACACGAGATTACTGTGCGACGGATGTCCTCCCCTGGGGTGGGGTGGGTGGGTGTTTCAGAGGGCCACTAGGGAGAATACTTTTCAAAGTAATTGGTGTCACCCTCTTAAAATAAAGGTTATTATTATTATTATTATAACAAAACATCTAATAAGAGATTTATTATTCAACATGCCAAATTGTTATTTCAATGTGGGGCGAATTTTGCAGATATTTCTGGAGTACAAATATCGTGTGATATTTGTACTCATCTCATGCATTATTTGTACTCTTCCAAGCACAGTTGGATAATAATCCCCTTTACTACACGACTCGGGCAGTCAGAGGGCCAATAACTAAATTCGACCAATCAAAATGCTCTATTGCCGGTCAATATTCTCTCAGTATTGGACAGGGCACTACCCCGAATGATACCACACTTGTGTCCCTTTGAACTTCAGTCATATAATAATCTCTTATTCACCAAGCTTGCTCGGGACAGTACTGGAAGAATATCAGCCCTCTGTCTTTTTTGTACAGACCTCACTGCACTCGGTCCGTACTGTCAAGACTTCAGGCCAATATTCTCCCAGTACAGCCCTCGCGCTTGGTTAAAAAGATATATTTACTAACATTTTTCTTTATTCTAAGTACTTGTCTGCTTGATATTATATTCTATTTGATGTTGTTAGGAGAGATTCTGTCTTGGCCACTCATGGGAGTTAGAGGGTTTAAGAGTTTAAGAGTTTAAGAGAGATGAACACTCAAATACAAACTACTACAGACAGGCTTCTCTACATGTAATTTCTTCCAAAACCCTTTAAGGCCTGAGCATCACTCCTTAATCAAACAATAAGGTAATGAGAATGAAGGAAATGATCACCAATTAAAGAAGATCTCAATTCATGAAAAAATTATCCTGTCAGCACCTTAGGAAATGCATAAAGAACAGTATGGAGAATATGCATTTCAATGTTAAGGTGTAAATGGTTAAAAAATTTCCCCTTCCGCTCCCCCCTTGCCCTTCATGGAAAATATGCAGCCTGGAGCCCTGTGTTTTATTTACTATTCAGCTGAAGATACTCACATTCATCCAGTGGCTGGGGCACAGAGCCCTCTGCCCAAGGTGTCTGATCATCCATTAGATTGATTGTCAGGTTTGGATGCCAATATGAAATGATTTCAACAGGCTTCTTACTGTCTGGTGCTTGCTGTAAAGAAGGTTTGGAAGAGAGTCTATACACTAACCCAAGAATAAACCACATCAGAAAAGTGTTCTCCTTTTCAGGTGGTGACCAGTAAAATTTACATATAACGATTACAAAAGCTGACGTTTCAAGCGTTAGCCCTTCGCTCTGACGAAGGGCTAACACTCAAAACCTCAGCTTTTGTAATCGTTACGGTGGCCAATTTACCATTTCAACTTTGTTGATATATCCAAACTATTTCGTTACCCCCACCGATGCAGCCCCAAACAGTTTCTTTCGAAACTATCAGCCTTTACTCATTAGTAAAATTTACAGCCTGCAGTACCCCCTTTTTACAATTTAATCAAGTTTTTTATCATCAGAGCTTAATACAAGACTCCTTAGAAATAAGCCACCTATTATAACCCACCCACCCCACCCCAGGGGAGGACATCCATCACACAGTAATCTTGTGTGTGGGAAATTAATGTCTCCTGCCCCTAACCCTGCAGGAGGCGAGACCTCCATTTATTCGTCCCTATCCAAGTAAAGTAGAATATCTAACTGTTTCTTGATGTTATAGAAAGGTAGCATATCCTTCTCAATTATTTTAAGACCTTGAGTGTTGGTCCGGCCAGGGCTCGAACCCTCGTCCTCCCGCACAACAGTCCAGTGCTCTATCCATTGAGCTAACCGGGAGGCTACAATTGCTTGAAATTCTTGAAAATTCAACAGATTTTGAACATTCTGAAGATTTATTTTACAGTACCTATTATGCCAAAAATAAGGGAAACACTGACATCATGGCTAAGTTATTTTTGCTAAAACAAGTCTCAGCTTACCACTATATCAGGATTGGCATCAGCCACACCAGTTAACAAGTTTACTGTCTTGTGAACACGCCTTTTTCTATAAACTGTCAATACTAAAACAGAAAAAATGATAATTATAACAATCTTTATCATGGTTCAAAGTAAAGTAGGGGGAATATGCTTAGATCCATCTGGTAAGGGGCTTCCATCCCAAGTGACATGGGCTTAAGGGCAAATAGAAATGAGTGGATATTCCGCAAGAAAATGTTTGGACATTTTTACACAGCTTCATGTACACTAAACAATGAGGCCTTTGGTAGGCAAGGGAGATGAGTGATGTAATGGTGCAATTGTCACAAACAGTTACAGATTTTGACAGTTTCATTGTTTAAGCATAGTAAAACAATGTTTGCATCATTTTACTATTTAATAATATTTTCTTAATTGAATATTGTCTTATTTTAAATGCTTATTTTCAATGTTTACATATTTTAGCTTAAATATTTGTCTGATTGTATATAGTTGTGTAATCTGAGAGGGCCACAAGTTTATTAGCCTCTGGCTATTAAGTGCTACCCTCTTTAAATAAAGGCTTCCATTCATTCATTTCATTCATTCTTTCATTCATTCAGTAAATGTATTGCTAAAATTTAATTTTTTTAATTATCAGCCTTTTGCATAAGTAAAATCTGGCTCTGCAAATTGAACAAGACCCCTGACACAATAGGCTTTGCACACGCAGTGCAAATTAAGATAGACCAATTGGGAGGGTTCAAGAATCCAAACCTTCTCCCACCAAACCCGTGAAAAATTTTCACAGTTTAACTTGAATTTATTAAATTCTCTTAACTCAAAATATTCCTTCTCTTGTTTACATTCTAGAGTAATAACAAAAAGGAATTCTGTGTTTTTTTAATCAGACTGCCCCCCCCTCCCATCATACATTCCAAGACCTGCCCCCTGCAGCGTTCCCTTGAAGAGCACAGCATTGAATACTTACACAAACTTCTATTTACAACAGCCAGCTTGTTGAACTTTGGATGCACAGGGTCAGGTGACCTACCAGCCTTTGTTACATAAACATGAATGTAAAGGGACCCATTACTTTGCATCCTCTGTTGAAGGAAATAAAATAAGTTCAATCGTAGCACCTTTTCACCCTTTACACCTTAACATCAGAATGCATATTCTCCATACTGTTCTCTAAACACTCCCTTGGGTGCTAACAAGGAGAATTTGTTTGACAATCAAGTACTTGTTTAGTTGTTGATCATTTGCTTTATTCTTGCAACTCTAATGTACAATTCAGGATTTTGAATTTTTTGTTTTTCTCGTTGCTATGCTCCTACCAATAACGTAGCTCCATTTTCTGCCTTTAAAAGCACACACAACCCACAATTCCTCTATTCGCTCCGACGAAGGGCTAACGCTCGAAACGTCAGCTTTTGTAATAATTATGGCAGCCAATTTACCATTTCAACTTTGTTGATATATCCAAATTATTTCATTACTCCCACCGACGCAGCCCCAAACAGTTTCTTTCGAAACTATCAGCCTTAATTCAGGAGTGATATTTCAAGGAGAAATTACTGTAGATCCAAGTCACTTTTAAGTGCTAGAGGTACAGTGTATTTCCTTGTCTTACAAAAAAAAAAAAAAAAAAAAAAAAAAAAAAAAAAAACCCATGACTTCAATTTATCATGAACCTAAAGTTGCAGTGACAATTTGCTTGATGTGATACCTACATTTTTTTGTGGTGAAAACCTCTACCTTTACAAGAGACTTTTGTTGTAGCAACACAAGATATTAATTTAAACTAGTTTTAATTTGTGCTATGTTCAAAGAGATTAAATCAATTGCATTGACTTTTTTGGAAACACAGCACATAAAGTGGTTTGTCCCAGAGGTAAAGAAAGTTACCACATGGCATTAGTTCTTTCCATTAACTACCAAGATCTGCTTGTGAATTCTCCCCCTCTAGCTGCTACACATTTCCTTGTAAATTAGCTTTGAAAATATGGTGTTCAATCCAGACAACATAATCTACCTGTGTAATTATCTGTTTGCTGGATGACATAGGGATATTGTAGGAAAAAGTTGCATGTTGATCACATCTGGGAGTTAAGAGGTTGTTATTATCTTCAACTCACATTGTCACAGAAAAAATGATTTTAGCAATGTCAACAAGTTTTAATTTCAGAGTAAATCATGATTTTGTCAGCAAAGGAACAGATTCTGCTGCAAAGAACAAGTCACATTTGGGGACCCACTGGTGACAGTCAGGATGAATTTGTTATACTTAATAAACAGGGTGGGGAGAAACCACCAAATACTGTGTCCCAGCGTAAAGGGTTTTATACCTCAGTTGCCTGGATGTTAGTGCTAAACAGACGGGAACCGTCCTTTTGAGGTCCATCTGTCCAATTCCCAAACTTAAGATCTCTCTCGTGCCAGACAAGTTTCTCAGTGTTATTGAAATCGGTAAAATGTTGCTCTTCTCCCAAAAAAACCCACAGTTCCTGCAAAGATTGAAACATTAAATAAGTTAGATACGATGAATATATGAAGTCGATATATTTTGCACTGCGGTTATAGATACGTATGATGCATGATCCTCGCAGTAGAGAGCGCTATTTTATGCAATAGCAAAAATCAGACCTAAAAAAAATCAGGCCTGTACGGGATTCGAACCACTGACCTCTGCGATACTAGTGCAGCGCTCTACCAATTGAGCTAACAAGCCAACTGGGAGCAGGCCGTTAAGTTGATTCGTAATAAACCCGTGATGATAAATCAGATACAATGAATATATGAAGTTCATATATTTTGAACTGCGGTATTANTAATACCGCAGTTCAAAATATATGAACTTCATATATTCATTGTATCTGATTTATCATCACGGGTTTATTACGAATCAACTTAACGGCCTGCTCCCAGTTGGCTTGTTAGCTCAATTGGTAGAGCGCTGCACTAGTATCGCAGAGGTCAGTGGTTCAAATCCCGTACAGGCCTGATTTTTTCAGGTCTGAGTTTCGCTATTGCATAAAATAGCGCTCTTTACTGCGAGGATCGTGCATCATACATATTAAATAAGTTATTGTTGATGACAAAGGGATTAAAACCTATAACCAAAAAAAATGATAATTTTAAAGCTTTACACCTTTACATCTTCACATCAGTACCAGTATTCTTCAAACTCTTCTCTATACATTTCCTACAGTGCTGACAAAGAGAATTTGTCTAACAATCAAAGCTCCTCAGATCAGCCATCATTTCCTTTTTTTCTCATGATCTCAATGAATGATTCCGCGGTATTAAGGTCAGGAGAAATAAGATGCTGGTTACTCTCTTAGGATTTAAAGTGTTAAGGTTTGCATTTGTCCTCCTTTGCATATCCTGGGGGATAAATTTCAAAGGTGCCACTTGCCAGATCCTACTCTTTTAGCAGTATGAAACAGAAATTAAAAGCCCTAAGGAAAGGTTTTGCAAATAGTCAGAAATAAACACCAAAATCTAGAAGGACCATACTCTTCTGAATCATTTTGACTATTTTTGTTAAAAAAAAAATTGCTAATTTTATGAAAGGAAGAAAACGCCAATCCAACTTAAATTAACAATTTGGTATTTTTAAGGTATTCGATCTTCTTCTAACTTGTTTGAAACGTTTTTAAAATAGAAACAATGACATGTAAGGTCTAGGTCGAAAAATATGGAACACTGAGGACGATACCACATTCGCGGTTATAAATTTCTTTACTTAAAACCACCTTCTCTGAAATCGAACCTTACTTAGTTGTACCTATCAAGGTAATCCTCACCAGAAGAAACCTTGAGTCATAATCAAATAATTTTAAATTAATAAGAATACGATTTCAATTTTTGTAAAATCTTTGCCCAAAAATGCCGAAAGAAAAGGGACACCCCTTATCATCATCACTTACTTCTTACACAGAAAAAAAGTTATGCCCGATCATGTGCTAACCGGCTTCTTACAGGCATGCGAGAGACATGTGGGCTCATGTCGTCTAGTTATCTCAAAAAATTTATTTGAAAAAAAAGGCTTTTTATTACCAGCGACGAATCTTTGAAGACAGAACTCTAACAAGATTCACTTACTATTTTCTGATCCGTTTTAAACAGGTTTGTAGAGGCGATCACGTTCGTATTTGTGCCCTGTTGCTGTCCACCACGAAACAACTTTGAAATCAGCCAAAAGATGAACATTCGAATGAGGAGACTTTTCCACATAGATCCTTGTTCTTGTTGTGGCTGCTGCTGTTGCTGTTGAGGCTGATTGTTCTGTTGGTCGTTGTTCTCTACCGTTCCATTTTGAACCCGGCTGTTTCTTTGCTGGCCATTCTGTTCACAAACGACTTCGTCACTTCGTTGAGTCGCCATGATGGATGGAAAAAAATTAAGGTTAGTTCGGTGAGTGTAACCGCGCTTAGCAGGGGAAGGTTCGGCTACACAGCTTATAAGCCTTTTAGGCATGTGTTTAGCCATCCTCGGAGACCCAGGGGCTGTGAGTCGATTTCAGGTTAGGGCGGAAGAGCCCCTAGGGACATTGTCTTGCAAGACTAGTTCCAAACGGTCGCAGTCGTTCTGGCATCTGATTCGTACCAGAAAATCTTTGTGTTTTTCTGCCCAATCAGAGTGAAGTGTGCTTTCGTGTGTTTTAACACGGAGATCGACAAGAAGCTCCGTTGCTCGCTATGTTTGTTTGGGCCGTGCGACGGAGCTCTGCTCGAGGTGAAAAGTTTCAGCCTCAGCACACAATGTAAGAGAAATCCATCAGATTGTCCGCAAAAATCTTACCGGAAATTATACTGAATACTTTCGCAGTTATCACAAGAGAACGTGTTTAAAAGTTTGCGAGGTTCGTGTGAAACATAATGGTTGCAGGCGTTACATCTCGTCTAACGTTTAAAGCGACATATTATATATCGCTTTAAACGTTAGACGAGATGTAAGCTGAAATCTTTCTAGATTTTTTGTGTGCCGAGACTGAAACCTTTCACCTCGAGCAAAGCTCCGTCGCACGGCCCAAACAAACATGGCGAGCAACTGAGCTTCTTGTATATGTCCGTATTATAACACACGAAAGTACTCTAAAGTACACTTCACTCTGATTGGGCAGAAAAACATAAAGATTTTCCGGAACCAATCAGATGCCAGAACGACTGCGACCGTTTGGAACTAGTCTTTTAAGACAATGTCCCCAGGGGCTCTTCCGCCCTAACTTGAAATCGACTCACAGCCCCCTGGGTCTCCGAGGATGGTGTTTAGCCTATGACTAAGGATACTTTACGTCAGTTGCAACTCATTACCTGACGAGGGAATTCCTCATTAAATTGCACGCGAAAACCGATATCGCACGAATCGCGAAGCGATAAGTGCGATATCGGTTTTCAAGTGTAATTTAACGCGGAATTCCCGAGTCTGTTGATGATTTTCCTTGAATAGCATAAGAGAATTAAAATAAGAAATCGATATCGGTTTTCAAGTGCAATTTGACGCGGAATTCCCGAGCTAGGTGATGGATTTTCCTTGAATTGCATAAGAGAATATGAATGAGAATCGCACCATTGAATAAAATCTCGCATTTTGATTGGTTGACGAAGCGGGGTATTTAACTTGGAACTACGAGTTGAAAACAAGGCTTAGTGATATTGTTTGGCATCTACGTAAGCATCACGACTATTGTCAAATTGTAACGCCACCGACTGCGAGAAAGTCTTTCTACAATGTCATTTTAGAATATTTTCAAAGCCATCGTCACCTTTTCAAGAGCCAAAAACAAACGAAAGTGATTTTTAAAGTGAGCGGGAGGTTCTTCTCGACTTTCATATGGCTTTCTGGAGCGTGCGCTCAGGATAAAAAAAACAATATTAATGCTGTTTCTTTTTTATCTTATTTTTATTCTCTTATGCGATTCAAGGAAAACCCATTACCTGACCCGGAAATTTCACGTTAAATTACACTTAAAAACCCACATCGCACTTATCGATTCATGCGTATCGGTTTTCGCCTGCAATTTCGAATGAGGAAACCCCTTGTCAAGTAACGAGTTTTCCTAATGAATTTTTCTTCGATGCAGAGCCTCTTACAATTTTCTAGCCTGTAGCACTGTGTAGTCCTGTGGTTTAAGACTATCTGTGAAGTTCTCATATTGAAATATTCAAATGAAAAGATGGATTATAAGATCGTGATCATTCCTTCGTAGATTATGATACGACGGAAAATGCATGCGCTGTTAGTACCTCTGGTTGTTCAAAACAAAGCCTTAGAAAACTGTTCTAAGGCTTTGTATGGGACAACCATAGGTACTTACAGTGCACGCGTTTTCCGTCCTGTCACGCGGCGGGGCGGACTTAACGAGCACTTGGATGCGGTAAATGAAGTCTTATAAGCTAGCCTTTTAGAGCTAACGACGACAGATTGGTTTTTATCCCTGCTTCGTTTCGAATTCCCATTTGTTCACATTCCGCAAGCTAGCGTAGATGAAAACACCCAAGCATTTGTCACGCAATGCTGAAATTATTTCAATCTTGTTCCCATCTTGTAATTTTACGGCTACAAATATCCGTTTCAATATTCAGTACCACTATTCTTTAAACTCTTCTCTATACATTTCCTAAGATGCTGACAGAGAGAATTTGTTTAATACTCAGGTCAATGATCATTTCCTTTTTTCTCATGACCTCAATGAATAGTTCAGAAGCGTTAATGCAAGGAGAAATTAGATGTTGGTCACTCTCAGAATTTACAGGGTTCAGCTTTTCAGGACTCGACACGAACAGTAGCCAATTAGCTACACACTAATAGAAAATCAGTTTTGGCTAGTGGTTTTCCATTTCCTTTAGCCAGTTTGGCTAGTAAACAAACTGAAATTGTCGTAACATCTAAGATATCACGAGCCACTCGGCTAGTAAGTTGAAAAGTTAGTGTCGAGCCCTGGGGTTGAGGTTTGCATTTCTTCTCCTTTGCACATTGTGGGGGATAATTTTCAAAAGTACCACTTGCCAGATCCTACCCTTTCAGCATCATGAAACAGAAATTAAAAGCCTTGAGATTTATTTACAAACCACCTAGCCTCAATGTTTATGGAAAGGTTTTGTAAATATCTCAGAACTGAACAGCAAAATCTCAGACGACCATACTAGTGATCCACCCTTCAGAATCACTTAACTATTTTGTTAAAAAAAAAAATTGTTAATTTTATGAAAGGAAGAAAACGCCAATCAAACTTAAATTAATAATATGGCATTTTAGGGTCTTCGATCTTTTACTAACTCGTTTGAAACGTTCTAAAAATAGAACAATTACATGTAAGGCCTACGTCAAAGATATGAAACATTCAGGACAATACCACATTCGCGGTTATAAATCTCTTTACTCCAAACCACCTTCTCTGGAATCGAACCTTACTTGTACATATCAAGGTAGTCCTCGCCGGAAGAAACCTTGAGTCGTAATCAAACAATTGTAAATTGATAAGAAAATGATTTCAATTTGTGTAAATTCTCCGCCCAGAATGCTGAAAGGAAAGGGACACATCTTATCATCACCACTTACTTCTTACACAGAAAAAAGTTCAGCCCGATCATCTGCTAACCAGTTTCTTACATATGCACGCGAGAGACATGGGCTTCTCTAGAGATCTTAAAATATTTATTTGAAAAAAAAGGCTTTTTATTACCAGTGACTACTTTATGTAGACAGATTTCTTACAAAATTCACTTACTATTTTCTGATCCCTTTTAAACAGGTTTGTAGAGGCAATCACGTTCGTATTTGTGCCCTGTTGCTGTTGACCACAAAACAAATTTGAAATCAACCAAAAGATGAACATTCGAATGAGGAGACTTTTCCAAATGGATCCTTATTCTTCTTGTAGCTGCGGCTGTTGCTGTTGAGACTGATTGTTCTGTTGGTCGTTGTTCTCTACCGTTCCATTTTGAACCTGGCTGTTTCTTTGTTGGCCATTCTGTTCACAAACTACTTCGTTACTTAGTTCAGTCGCCATGATGAACGAAAAAAGATAAGGTCAGTTCGGCGAGTATAACCGCGCTTAGCACGTGAAGGTTCGTCTACACAGCTAGAATATGGCGGTGTCTTAATTAGCAGTATGGCGATGTCACAATAACATGACCGAATATGTGCTTATACGCCTTTAGCATGTGTTTAGCCTATGATTTTGAAGATGCTTTACGTCAGTGAGTCGAGATGGTTAATTTCTTTCATTTACTGCAATTTAAAACAGTCGATTACGGCTTCGTTGAAGTTATAAAGGGGATCTTCTCATCTAAACTCTGATTCTCCGAGTGCACTTTAGTACCAGTTAGAATAGTTTAGCTGCCTTTCGTTTTCTATTTAGGGGTAGAGAGAAGGGGCTGGAAAGGGGGAAGGTGTGGGACACTTATCCGATCGTATCAGTTTTACTCTGTTCGCCCGATTCTTAAGGACGGATTACTGATGGTCGATGATATTCCAGTAAAAGAGATTAACCTCCAAGAAGGTGAAAGATGTACACAAATTCTTAGCCAAGTAAAGCCCCTGAGTTCATCTTCCCTTGATTTTCCACCGCTGTTTTTCCCTTCCTTTTCTTTTTAATTTTCACTCTTGTGTTTTCGGCTTTTCTTTCTTTCATCTCTCTTTGAAGTTCGTTGTGGACAAGGACTCATTCCCCTTACGCATGTTACGTTTAATTTACGGAACTTGCAGTTCCACTTTCGAAAATTGCCGCTTCAGAGGTGACAATGTCTAAAACAGAAAATTTTATTAGCACAACACTGTTTAAACAAAACGAAAAAATTAGTATTCTAGAAAATTTACTTGACGGATTTGGTGAAAATTAAAAGAAAAATAACTACAAACCAGTCACCACTCAAACTTAAATAGTAGCAAGTCCCATTTTTCTTGTGCAGTACACTTGTACCAAGCGTTTTCCCAACGAGCAGTAACAGACGCAAATGTGCTACTTTTCAAAATTGACTTTTTACTTCAATCATAAACAGATGGCATGATGGCATGAAAAAACAGCATAAAATCATGTAATAACATGTAGGTGTCTTAAACGTTTCTGTTCAGTATTTTTTTTAGCATGAAAAAGTAGAAAAAAGTACAAAATTACACTGAATCACTCGTAAATCTCCTAATTCTCATATTTCGCCACAAACACTCCTCTAGCTGGCAGAAATTAAAAATTTCCTCGCCTGAATCAGGTCAATATATTTTTCCTTTTTCTGATCAGTTGATTTACTATTTCTAATATCTTCACTCAATTTCAGATTTACAAAACTAACTTCATGGGAGTTGGGTTTGATTTGTGTGAAAAGAAACAACTTGTCTATACTCCGGAGCAACAAGCAAAATACTCTTGAAGCGAGGGGGGGGGGTCTAGTTAATTTCCATGAAGCTATGATGTAGATTATCATAGAAATGTAAAATTAAGTTTTTGTTCTGCTCTGGTAAAATGGGAAACTATCACGGTGCATGACCTTGTGGCAAGACCTTCCCTCTCCCCCCAATTCCTATCACCGCTTCCCCTCCCCTCCCCCATCAAAAGTATGAAAGATTGTTCTCGCTACTTAACGCTTATTTGGTTATCTCTGTGTTCACCAAGCTTATCCCAGTTGATAAAAAAGTGATGCCGTATATTTGTAAATGACAACCTATACTAAAATGAATGAATATGATTTTAGGTTCTAAGATACATATGCTGTTTTCCGCAGATGGCCAGACGCTACAGTTCGGGTGCTTGTGAAGCAATGTAGATGTCATCACGTTGTCTGCGCTTGTTGCGGCTGCGCAGTATCAGGTAAACCGTGAGGCAGATAATTGCCACGGCGAGAACACCGCTGATCGCTACTGTTGTTATCGTACTGGTTGAGAGGGACTGGGTCTCATTCTCTTCGCCTGATCCAGCTGTGAAGAGAAAATAAATAACGGGCATTAAACTTGTATTAGAGCAGTTTTAAATTGAGTTTCGAAAGCACTTCAGGATTTTGTTGGTTTTGTTTCACTTCATTCTATGATTGGTTAAGAAGAATAACTCCTTTTCCTCAATTGATTAAATTCAAAACCAAAACTAACTGCTACAAGTTGGTTTGCATTTTTCTCCGCTTTAATCAATTTGCTTGTTTTTAATTTGAGTTTTGATCAGCTATTTCCTGAAAGTTTCTTTCACTCTGATTGGTCACTGGTAATACGCTGGCTGTGGTGTTGTGACACCTAATTGAGGACAAATCTATGCCGTAAAAGACATTTTATTTTCGTGAGTTTTTCTTCCGTTCTCTGTCTCAGCTAATATCAATAGCTGAACATCTTTCTATGCTCAACAGCTGAGCTTAAAAAAAAAAAGCTTTCGCTCGGGATGCTTTTGAAATTGCTGCTCCGAACAGTTTGCAGGACAGCTGTCGCATATGGCTTCACGAAAACGCAAAAACTTGCCAAGTAGTCCTTGATAGCCCAGGCGATATAGAGTATAATTCAAATAGGATCTGGGACGTGACCATACCCTTTAATATGGATCTCAACGCATTCTACGTGTACCTTAAGTTTATAAACAACCAATTAACAATGAATGAATGCCTCATACTTTCTTTCTCTTCCTCATCGTTTTCAAAAATAAAAGGCCCCGTAGACACGTGATACACTTTCGTTTCGTCCATTGTTGACCTTTTTTTCCTGGAACTAGGACACGCGCTATTGGATGGGCACTCGCACAGTGAAGGGGTCTTGTCTGCCAGACAGACCCTCAGAACGCAGTGGAAGTAAACCGGGTCACCTCCCTCGGCTCCATAGTACCTAAAGGACTGAATGGAAAACATTTCTTTGGGGCTGTCACTTTTGCAAGAGTAGGACAAAGTGTCTCCGAGGTCATCACTGGTGTGTTTGTTGCCACAACTGTTTGAAAAAAGGATCAGTAGAAATCATTTAAGTCTAATATCACAAAATATATCTTAATTAAATTTGAACAACATCGCGCCGATTAAGAACTTTTGAAGTCCGATCGACATGGAGAGAGAGATTGCAGCGTTACTCTGCGGAATTGTCCTTTGTTGCATTGCTCTTAAGCTGAATAACCTTGCAGACAGTGGCTTTATTTCATGGGTGGAAGAAAAACAAATCCTTCGCGTACTATTTGAAGATGTTGCCTTGATTGACGATTGGTTACAAACGACATCCATGATAAACAAAACGGAGAACGACAATCCACTCCTATTGGAAATTCACAGGAATTTTATGTAGTTGGCGGTTTGTCGTTTCGCCATGGGTTTTGGGAACAATTAAGGATGGTACCAGCGTTAGACATTGTCCCGGCCTCCTTTTGTAATTGTGCTTCTCTGAATTTTCTCAGTCCCCAGTAGCTTGGAGTGTCCCCATAGTTTTTAAGTATTTACAGACGCCCATTTCTTGGAGCGTTCAATTCTCATACTGAGCCTATGTCACGGCATTCTCACAAAACGGTTTATCTTTAGACTATCTTTTTCCAGGAGAAATAAAGAGTTAAGTTATAAATTAACGACCTGCTAATCGTGATTGGTCGAAAGACCTCCGTGGAGAATCCCATTTGGCGGTAAATTCAAGCTGAAAATCGTCTTGTCTTTGAACACACCGCGACATAAACAAAGGGTAGTTGAACGTTCCAAGCAATTGGCTCCTTGTTTTTATAACTAGCTTTAGATTCAGGAGTATTTCTTCGTTTTCTCCAGCCACCACCGAAGACCACCTACCCTTCCTCTATCAGAGTAACTCTCCCTTTCTCAGAATCCGGGCGGTAGCTCTTTGACGAATAGCAGTGAACAGGAAAAAGGTCAAGATTGGGTGCAGCGCTTGAGGTCACAACTGAAGCCCGGAAGTACAACATTTTTTTCAGTGGAACTTTGTTGGGAACTTCTCCAGTGTAATTGGCATAGAGGAACGCACGAAGATTAAAGCTGAAAAAGGCAGTGCCTAGGAAGGACAAGAAAATAAAATTCTGTTTTGAATCTATCGAATCTATCGATCGAATCTATCGATAATATTTAACAAATGGTAAACACCACAGCGTACACCATTGAGTTATGGTTGCACATGGGAGGTTGCTAAACATGAAAGAAGCATAAGGGTCGCGCGAGGCGATAGCCGAGAGCGACTCTAGCCTCCTGAGTGCTTAGAAAACCTCTTAAGTGCATCCATAACTCAATAGTGTATGCTGTGGTGTTTACGATTTGTTTTATAACAGAACATTGATTCATTGTAGCAAAACAGTTCCCCTTTATTTAACAAATCTTACGCGCGCGCGGAAACTTGTGTATGCATTTACTCACAACAGCAGCGTACACCCATGGCCAAGTGGTGAACACTAAATTGACCAATCAGTGCATGCGCTTTACTTTGGTAATGTTATAAAAAAAATAATAGCAATTGCATGGTGACTTGCTTATGCCGAAAAGAATAGCGTTAATCTCAGTGCTTTATCATATCCCAGTTATCCAATAAAATTTTACCCCGGTGATCATATTCCCTAAAGGCAACCAAAAGAGCGGGGATAGCGCAGTGATAAGAGCGCTCGCCTCCCATCGCTGTGGACCTGGGTTCTATTCCTGGACTTGGCGTCACATGTGGGTTGAGTTTGTTGTTGTTTCTCGTCCTCGCTCCGAGGGTTTCTCTTCAGGTCCGCCGTTGTTCCTCCCTCCACAAAAACCAACATTCTAAATTCAAATTCTTGCGAGAAACAATGGACAAAAACACCTCACGGAATGTCCACTGATAAATTCTCATTATCAAAATAGTTACTGATAATGAAAAATCCAAGTTTTCACATTATCCCATTCAGAACCCTCTTTAATTGAAATAGAGTTAAACATGGTGTTCGTTAACGATCTCATTTCTACATACTTGAATCGTTGTCTTCCCGGTTCTTAATCGGTACAAAACTGGCTGAGGACGTGTTTTGATTGTAATATGAACACGACACATAGTACAGGTGGTCATAGCCACGCAGGTGTTCGTTGCTGGAATTTCCCTTTGTCTTTGTTGGGTTGATTCTCAAGACATATTTGATACTGCTGTTAGCAGGCTGTTCTGAATTCCATGCACAGTCAGGCAGTTTCAGGGCACTGTAGGTTACTGTCTTGTTAGCAAACACTGGCTTGCATGTGCTGTTGTTCTGTAATTGCCACTCATGTTCCTTCCACTCGTCAAGATCATTTACGTTTGTGATTTTGATATCGATCGTATGATTGTTGTTGCAAGTAACTTTACCTTCTGGTGCATCATACATATGGCTTGTCCCTGTGATATAAAACAATAAAACATGCTCGAAAATAGATTTAAAAATGTACACTTCTTTAGTGAAATTCACTCGAGAGTTGAATGGATCTTCTTTTTTTCTCTAAGCGGCCTCTGTATCCGATGTAACGAACCTTTGCACGTTCGCAGCTTCAAGGACAAGGACAGATGATAATAATAATTATGAGTATTTGTCAATTTTTTTCCGCCATGTCAGATTTTGAAACGGCGTCGAAGATACTTTTCCAAAGAAATGTATGCGATCCCTCAAAGAGGAATTCATGGTTTCTTGAACAGGAGTTAGAGGCTAGTGAGAGAAAATTGAACTGTACTATGAGTTTCACTCGGTTCCGCCTCAAGTAGTTTGAAGAATCTTTCAAATTCATTTTGAATCTCATCTACCACCTGTTGATATGAAAGAAAAATTTAGCCTTACCAAGCCTGAAAAGAGTTCCAAATACCGCCAAAATAATTAGGGTCTTCATGTTTCACTGTAAATGTTTCCCCTGGTATAGATCTCTTGAAAATCTGCTCCTGTTAAAATCAACAACAGCAATAAACGAAAACGAATAACTGGATGAAGGGCTAAACGCTCGAAATGTCAGCTTGA